CAGTGGCCCTAATCCTCTTCCGTAGATATTTGTGTAAAAATGTAAGGAGTAGAAGTAAAAAGTCGCCATAAAAATAAGTAGTAAAGTAAAGTAAAAATATCAGAAAAATCTACTTGAGTACAGTAACGAAGTATTTGTACTTCGTTACTTCCCATCTCTGTATATATATGTATATATTCCAAAATCTCAATGTTGGTCACCATTTGTAATGTGTTGTGGAAAGGAAATTAGATTATCAGGGTTCATTGCTGTAAAAAATATTCTTTTTAGGTTTTATCTACAACTCCTCTGAATTCTGAGCTCAAAAACCTCTTACTAGTTACTCGACTTTCTCCCAATAAATAGAACTATATCTACTGCCTGATGCATTCCACCACTTCATGTGTTGTGCTATTTACCACCAGATAATACTGAATACAAATTGATTATTTTTGCATTTTCTAACTGCTGTTAGATCCATCTGCTGATTGCAAACTGTTGTGTACATACTTATGCAAATCATTTGGTGACCATGGCAACCTAGGGAGGGCAGGTGCTTTATGTTCCCCAGCACTTGAATATATGCAGTTACAACTGTGCTGTAGTTTCAATTCAGTTTTCTTCCATTTGTGAGTATATTAGCACTGTGAGTATATTTGTTGAAGAAAAAATTGTACTGCTGCTGGTCACTGTGTTTCCTGCTATTATACTAAAAGATCAGATGCAAAATAATCTGTTAAGACAGATAGAAGCTACATCTTCTTTCATGACAGAAACAAAGTTGTCATCCCGTAAAATTTCTTCACAGTCGCTTGCTTTTTTTAAAGTAATCTTGAAATGCCTTTAAATAGGAGCCAGTTGGACAGAAATCAATTGTAAGTGATCTGGCAGACAGCCTGTGCTCCCAGAAAAGACTGTCTCTAGTCAGTGGAAGCAACACAGTGGGGAGTTGCCTGTTAAAACACTAAGTGATAAACAGTATCCGAGTAAAGTTTGAATGATTGGAATAAACCCAATGATTGGAAAAAAATGCAAACTAAGATCCCATACTAGACATTCAGCTCATGTTATTGATTTTGTGCTGTGTTGCATTAAAACCAGATAACACAGGAGGGGAAACTGTTTACACAAATTCAATACTTTGAAAAACCTGATTAATTTTTTACAAAACCTTCATGTTTGTCCGCTAGTGCTTTTTCAAGATTCATGCCAAATTGATAATACTCTTAGAGAATAGGGTAAAAAAAAACATATTATACTATATCCATGGAAAAATAGGCTAGTTCTTTGTGTTCTGAACAATATCAGGATTCGATTCTTATGTTAAATTCAGATATTTCCTTAGATGAACTTGTATGAATACAATTTGCTCTTTCAAGTTGTCATAGGTTTTCTCATATTTGTGGAGGTTAAAGTCGTAGGGAAATCATGTTTAAATGTCAAATCACACTTAAACGTGTATATAAATGTACTCTTTATCAGACGATATTGTCTCAAAATTTAGAAAATTTCTGTTTAAAAAAAAAAATCTTAAGATCTATGTTTTTTTTCTTCGCTATCTTATGCAGGCCAGTTAGTTATACGTCAGCTTGTACACCTAAATTCTGCCAATCATATATCAATGATCATATGTCAATCAAATTTTTTTTGGTCATAGCATCTTCATTCATATGTCGCAGCTAATACGATTGAAATAAGAAATAAGAATCATTTACTTTACCATTCAGTTACATCCCGGTGTTAATGAAGTTGAAAGTCTGTGTCTTCGGCAGACGTAGAGCTAACAGAACTGGCAGCGTTGCGAGGCAAGGGGTCAAACATGTACGGCTGTAAGCCTTCTACACCAAACAAAGCTTCTTCCACCCTCTTCCACAACATCTTCGTCCCCGCTTTCCTCTAAATAAAAAATGTATGACGGAGGAGACTCATCCACAACATCTGACACAAAACTCTCCTCCTCTCGCATGTTTCTGCTGTCCATAGTGTTCCTTGACAGTTTCTAAGTGCTCATTGGTCCCAATGTAATTTCCCATTGGGAACCTAATAGTACTGAGTTGCTAACTGGTTAGCAAGATGCTTCCGAGACACCGGTCACAACCAAAATTGCTTGCGAACCTTCGGGCACAAAAACCCCACCCCCTTGATAATGGACCAATCATATTCACTTTATTCACTCGTGTACAGTCATGGACCACTCGGGAGAATTCGCAAATGCAACGGTTGGAATTAAGGCCATGCAATTTTCTTTAATTGTTTGTTCTGCCCTGTGTCCTTTCAGGGCATTTCTGGCATATAGTACTATGCAGAAAAGTTAATTGCATATAGTGCCAGGGCAGAGTCGAGCTACTAAAATGTTAGCCCTAATTGTATGATGGACTAAATAAAGAATGGATTCGTTACCAAAGCGGGCAGGCCACCTTAATGTAGTAATCTGTTGTTTTATGATCTTTTACCATTTGGATTATTTATAGCCTTTGTCTATGTATGGGTGTTTAGGTTGAGTTAAGGTGTCTGTATGGCTATGTATTTTCCCACGAGATGTGTACATGTATTTGCTGCTGTCTCATGCTTGCTGCTTTGGGCTGAATGGTTAGGAGTAAGGACTAAGTGTGACCTCAATAAGTTAGGTTTACTGATTGGTATGTAGTGGTATTAAGTACATTTTAGGGTTTGAGCCAAGGCATGGCTATAGAGTGAAATGAAACAGGAATGGTGTGTTTCTGTCCATATAAGGCAGTTTCCCTGTAGGAGAGGTGTAGGATGGAGATGCCAGCTCATGCTTTTAGATGCCACCACCAAACATCTGGACTCTGCACAGCCACACAAGGACTTTATTCATGGGCTTCTCTTGCACTTTTAGCACTGTACAGCATTTTACTGCACTGCCTTTTACACCTAAAGGTTCACTCACTACTGATTTTATGGACTTCAAATTTTATAGACCAGACCAGAACAGGTCCGGTCCATAAATCCTGAACACAGATCTCCCCCGAAGTAGTGTTTTATCTCCTGTTCTAGTTTCTTTGTATGCAAACAGCTTGTCCTGCAACCGTGAGGGGTTGTTACTTTTTTAAAACACAGACAACACAGCCAAGGCATCTCATTTGATGCTCTACCCCAGTAATAACACTGAGCCTGGTAAAAGTGTTTTGTGTTTTTGGAAATGAACACCACAAAGACAAAGAGTTGTGATGGAGGGGCAAAGAAAGAGATCCTAGATTATATCTCTCCCAGCCACTTAATATCCAGGGGCAGATAGTGGAGTGTTTTAGATGCCTTTTTGACAGAAATTGATATCAAGTAGCCTTGAAAATTACTTCTAAAAAGCTTTCAATGGCTACACCTCCAGAGGAAACTGCAATCTTTTAATCTAAAGAAGGAACTTTTAACACAGATTTAAAAATCGCTCATATAGTCTTGTATCAGTTTTTACATTTTATCCTGGAACAACTTTCTCATTGGGAAACAGAAAACTAAATCATTCCATATCATCCAACCATGCCTGGGTTCGACTCATGAGAGTTTTTCGAGAAATAATCGATTGACCTTAAACCTCCTGTATATGTATATTTATGCGCTCCTTATACATGTTTTGAAGTGTTTCATTTTAAGTTCAGATGTGCTTTGCTGGAACCCTGATCAATAAGATTTTGTGTTCCAGTCTGGTACAGACAATAAAGTCTTTCTAATGTATTCTAACTGCCAAGATCGCTTAGGGACCGCCGCCCCAGTCCTTACATCCTCAGACACCTGGGCCCTCAATGCCAAGGTGGCTGGTCCTACACCACTACACCTCTAGTGGGTGTTGAATAAACTAATTTGGATTTCTTCTCTTGGTTTTTCATACAAGCAGATGTTCTCTCCATAGCAACAAAATGCAATAAGTAATTCGAAAATAAATTATATACAAACTCTTTTGATTACTAAGTATAGTTTTTTTTATGCTTAAACTTGCAAGAAGGATGTGGTATCTATTCATTTCAGAATAGACTTTTTTGATGTCACCAAGAAGGCAAAGTGAGGCAGACGGGAACTGTGTACTCCAGGCATGTCGATGTCTTTAAATAGTCTTAGTCAAAAGCCATCCACAAGTAATGCAAGCGAACATATAGATAGTCATCAAGTTCGAACTGTTAAATTAGGTCATTAGGTCATTGGCTCAAAGTTAAAGACTGATGTTTACTTCTTTGAGAGCACATACACACAGATGTTAGAACTTTGTCCCTTTTTGCCTTTTCGGGTAATTAAGGTCTTGTTTTTTCTGTAGGATACTCCTTTATAAGTTAACGATGCCATTAAAGAAAAAGAAGGCTTTTAAAATAGTGAAGAAGTTCAGATTGACTTAATTTTCCGATCTCTATTTGCAGGTCTCCCATGATTTCGCCATTAATTTCAACCCCGAGGATGATGAATGTGAAGGTAAAGGGGGATCTTCATATTCTGTTCCTACAATGTTTTTGTCGGTAACAGCAAAATCTACAATTAGATGCTTTAGAAATCTCCTATTTCATTTACTAATGTATGTATTTATCCATAATGGTTATCTAGATTTTTAGCTAACCTTTTCAATTTTTTTTCACCCACTAGAATAAATGATTTATTGTAATTTTAAGTTATACAACAATTAGTGCATATTAAAAAAGAAGGAATATATGGGGTTTAAAACAAAAAATAAAGTAGCAATCTTAAAAGTGAGCAATGCCTTTGTATTTAACCCCATTTAATCTGATACTTCTGAATAGCATCACTGAAAAACACTTTTATAGGAATTTCGAAACATTTTTCTCCATTATTTCGATATCACAATAGTTTTCCACTTTTTTTTTAATCTTTGTCTAGCACATAAAATTCTGATGAACTGCATTATAGTAAGCGATTGCAACATGGTAAAATGTAACAAAGTCCAAGTTATATAAAAACTTCTTGGAAGATATTATTACTCATTCTTTCAGGGGATCTCTTTTGTGAAATACAAAAGAGAAATAAATGTAAGTTTGTTTGATAATCCTTTTCTTCTTTCTTCTGTTTGATCAGGGATCCAAGGAGTCGTCGAGGCATATCAGAGCTGCCTTCCTAAGATCCAATTATATGGCCCCACAAACGTTGCTCCGATCATTAACAGGATAGCCAAGGTGGCAGCAGGCGATGGCAACATTAAAGATGCATCTGTGAGTGGCTCAGTGATATATGGATTTAATACAGGCTTTGTTTTTATGCCTCCCATTGAGATTCATAAGTGAGTAGCAAGTGAAGTTTTAGCGTTGTGATAATAATGTGAAATGGTGAAATAATGTGAAATGGTGCAAAAGAAGTAACAATTCCATATAATGGTATGTTATTTGATGTATCTTATACCCTTTTGTGTCATATTCTGAATTTAAGGAGTGCACCTGTATAATGCTAATGGAGTTATTGGCCTATTTTGTTTTCTAGCTTTTATTTTGAGATGTTTTTTAATTGAATTAAATTTATTTAAAAAATATAAATAAAAACATTTAAAAAATATATACGGTACGCTTACTTTGGGTGCAGTGCATTTAATATATTTGTAATGATACACGAATATGTCAGACTCTTGAAACCCACCTAACACAAACTTTATTCACAAAAAATAAAACAGGAAAGTGCATTTATAGATAAATCCTAGAGCACAAGTTATATACAAATAAAAACAGAAAAGGATTATATCAATATTGTATGAGAAAAAACATTTTAAGCATAAATGTCAAAAGAACAATCTGATGCCTTCTAATAGAAATCAGCCAAATCTCATTTTCACTATTTGTGAATAAAAACCTACACATCAATTTTAAAGTAAAGAGTGTATTATAAACAGGCAAGTGTATGTTGAAACATAATACATAAGTTGTTTTGAAAGTCCACAATATGTTGCAAATGTATTAACTTAATTTTATGGCTATATAATATTCCACAGAACTGCTTGGACTGCACTTTATATTGGCTAATTAAAAATATACAATTCAATGTGAAATTCAGTAGATAAGGTTTTAGGAGGGCATTAAGAAGCTCTGGTGTAGCAATAAAATAAATGAAAATGAAATGTTTATTTTCCAAAACAGCAATTGTAACCACCTATCAAATAAAACTTTTCCAGAAGCTATATAGACCACTTATTCAGGTATGGGTTCACTTGTTGCAAAACAAATTAAGCAGAAAGACACATTTTTTTTATTTTATGTTCTAACTATTCAGCTCATGCAAAAAGTATGTACATTCATGTTTTATTGACAAGTTTTATTTAAAGAGGTCATAGAATGATTCTATAGGGTCTTTGGTGCTGGTCCTTAAGGTCTCTGAATAGGGTGTGTCAAATTGGTTGGGCTGAAAATGACATATTTGCTGGTTTATGAGCCCTAATGCAAGCCTGGTTATAAGCCCTAGAATGAAACGACAGGTTTTCTACCTTTTATGGTATGCTCATGAATATTTAGATGAGCTGTGTGCTGATTGGTTGGTTTACAACGAGCGAAGCTGGGGAGCAAAGACACATCATAGCAACAAGCACTCACTCACTGAAACACCAATTTAGAATTTAGAATCAGTTTAGAATTGTTAGATTTGCAGAGAAAGGAGGTGTCGATGAGGTTTGAACTTCTCTGTACGTCCATTTCACCCACTGAACTGTCTTATTCATCTATGACAATGTAAACTCGGTTTTGCATTCTATGACCCCTTTAATATATGATGGTGTTATTTGATATGTAGTTAAGAGAGATGAGAACGTAGCAGAGCTAAATTTATGATGATGAGTGGAGACCATTCAGCCAAAGTAAGTTGTAGAGATAATACTTTTGACGGATGCTCAGGCTTCTTAAGTATTGAGACTTCTCTGCTCCACTTTTCTTTTTGGCTATATACCAAATGCTGCACAATGGCAGTCCTTGAAATTCCTGAAGTATTTTGCTCTGGAATCAGTAAGTAAACACAGGTTACACTCAGCACAAAAGTAGTTCCATCCCTTATCTCTAGTTTTGATAGGAGGAAAATTTGACAACAACATTGTTGAACGAAAGAACTGTTAATAAAGAATGTTTTTTTTTCCATCCTAGGGACAAACGAGAAAGATTTTGGTTAATTTTACAGTAAATTTTTACTTACTGCTCCTTTAAGGGCCAATTTATCACGGCTACGGTTGAGTGAAGCATAACATACTTCAAAATAACAATAAAGTCCTCCCCCACATACTGGAGGGTGTCCTTGCTCAAGAACAAATAGTGCCGAGATCAATAAAGCTAATTTTCACATAAAACATTTTTTCCTACTCTCTTGCAGATATACCACATCCTGCTCATCCTCACAGATGGTGTGGTCACAGACATGGCAGACACACGTGAAGCCATTGTTCGAGCATCCTACCAGCCTCTTTCGATTATCATTGTTGGCGTGGGCAACGCAGATTTCACAGACATGCAGATTCTGGATGGAGACGATGGTGTGCTGCGGTCACCGAAAGGCGAACCTGTCCTCAGGGACATTGTGCAATTCGTCCCTTTCCGAGACTTTAAAACGGTCAGTCTTCCTCTCCATCTGTTGTTCACTTCATGTTAACATGTTTTTTCCTTCAAACCACTGGACGTCTATCTCCAAGGTCTGGTTGATTAGACATCACTTTTTTATCTATCAGGATCTAGAATTCTCATTAGATATCATACAAAATATGTTTCATTAAAGTATTTGAACAGAAAAGAGTTGTATCTTCAGGCATCTACAAATTATTATCAAGGAGGAGCTAGGCTTCTGAAGCACCAACGATCTCTACCTGATATCGCAGATGATTTCTTCTGATATTTCTATGATATCACAGACAAAGACCATGTGCACCTCGAGTTAACTAATCAGAACCTCACATAGCCATTATACTAAATTGTTTAAAGGCAAAAAACATGTTAAATTATATTTAATATATTGTCTTTCTTATTATTCTAGCAGTTCTGGGATATACAAGGCTTTGTTTATCTTTATCAAGTGAAACATCTGGCCTCAATTGTAAAATGTAGAATAGAAAAATCCTTTAGTGTTCCATAGTGTAAACTCAGGTGTATCATAAAGACATGAAACTGTCAGATGGCAACTCCAGTTTTTTTTTTTTTTTTTTTTTTTTTTAATTTAACCCTTAATTGTGGCTTTTTTCCACCTGACATGCTTCCTTTTAGTTATTTTCAGTTAATTTTTGCTTTGTTGAATGTACAATATTTAGACAACATATGCACTGATTGGTTGGAGAATCCTGTTAGCATGGCTATTATAATGAGGCACCAAGGAATCTGAAGTTTTGACTTATAAGTTTAAGGTCACTAAAGATTATAGTTTATTCCACTATCTATATAGCACCAATTTACAACACATCATCTTGAGGAACTTTAGTCAGATTGGTTCAAAGTTTTCTATCTAAGGAAAACCAGCTGATGGCATTGACTCATTGACTCGTCAGCAATCCCTCACACCAAGCATGCTTGTAGCAACAGTGGAGAGGAAAACTTCCTTTTAACAGAAGGAAACCTCCAGCAGAAACAGGCTCAGTGTGAGCGGCCATCTTTTGAGACCAACTGGTGTTCTAGGAGATGGAAGCAGAACTAAAGAAAGATATTGGCACAGTATGCAAGTGGAACATCTGTTTGTTGGTTAATGCTATGATATCTTCTGATTTGGAAGATGAGCTGTTGCAGGTCTTCAACTTACGGCCTTTTTTATTTTGGCACAATTTAATGTTAACCTCATAGCTTTCAAACAAAGCTACTACAGAGCCTTTTTTACTTTTAAGAAATATATTTTTGATAACTGCTTCTTGGTACTCATTGGAATATTATGTATGGTGAAAACCAGCTGTATTTCCAACCCCAAAGGGTTAATAAATTAAATTTCAATGTTCAAATACCTTTTATCTAAAGAGTGTAAACTTGAATTTTCTTAACTTAAGCTGGTATGTTTCCCTGATATTACCATTTTGGTCAGCTTGTGGTTGCAAAAAAGACATTATTTGGTTTGCAAATGACACCTTTTTAACATGTAAAACATTAACAACAACAAAATTCTGCAAAACAGCATTATCATCTTAGTTATACTTTTGTTGTGTTCATGTATATTTGTGTGGAAAGGGATGCAACATATTCGTGCCATGCTGGAGGAGGAAGTCTGCCCAGAGACACACAAAAAGGCCTGAAAAAGCTTGATGCTGTAACCTGAAACCCCCCTGCCTCTGAGGTGCAGCAGGACTTCTAATGATCGACCCATACTGTTGCTGGGGGGAAATATGGCTAAAATGCAGCCTGGATATTGGGCCATTAGAAGTGACTCTCTGGGCATTTTGATTTCATAGGTTACCTGTTTTACCCCCCTTTTTTAACTAAGCTGCAGATCTACTGTTATTATTATTTATTTACATGTTATATTTCCTGCCTGCAACATGGTTAAATTCATATATTCCTAATTTGGTTCTTGCTTGAACTAGCCCCACAGTCTTCCTCACAAACTTTCACATCATCTGTTTAAATACAAGAATAAAAATAATAATATTAAAAAAAAGTTTTGCAAAGATTTTGCATTCAATCAAGAAGTTTGTTTCTGATAGGTGATTAATTAAGCAGGAAACCTCTCACAATGTGATACAACCATGTAATATATACAAAAAATATAATGTATGTTTTCATTTAATTAGAAAATCTGCCTAATCATCTCTAAAGTTTGTACATTATTCTTTTTTCCTGGATTTTTAATTTTTTTGGACAAATACTGAATACTGGATAAGTACTAAATTGAAACCTTTGTCCTAAACATGACCACTGACCCAAAAACAGCAATTTGCCTCATTGGGGTCCAGCCTCTGAGCCCCAAAAGGAGCAGTTGGTCCCCACAGCTTGCTATTTTTCCATTAAATGGACCCCACAATGTGTTAAAAACAAGAGCACTCACACACACACGTTTTGAATATATATTACATTGACAGTAATCACAGTAATATCTCTGAATTGAATACTCTATCTAAAGTGCCTTTAGGAACATGTAACAATCTTTGTAGGAGAAAATTGACATAGTTTTAAAATACTACTCTCTTATGTCAGATGTCTCTTTATCTTGCCCTCTCTTCAATATGCAATCATACGGCAAAAAGAAAAATAAAATAAAATATGTTTATACTTACATACAAGGTTCACAATCTAATCATAAAAATGACTGACTGTGATTTAAATAAATATGAAGACCCTCTAACATTTTTAGCCCAATACGGACTAATTCATGTTGAAAAACAACCCTGAAGATCTCAATAAATATATAGACATTTACCGGTAAAGTTGTTTTGTGACAGAATGTGGAAAAGATCAGTAGGCATTAAGTTTATTTAGTTAAAATATTAATAGAATGTAAATTAAGAAATGTACACTTAGTAGTAGTAGTTTATATTGAGTAGTTCTAGTCCTCCCTTGTCCTCTGATAGTTGCATTGTCTATTTTTCAAATGTGACAAGTTGGCAATTCTGCACAAATTTTTAAAATTAGATATGGAACAACTTTGAAAAAAAATTTGATTTCCCTAAATTTTAGCTTTTAAAGGTTTTCAGTTTGATTCAAGCTTGGAATCTAAGTTGGAAATCCTCCAAATGTTAACATCAATCTAAGTCATAGAAAACCTTTGGTTAAATATAAAATATTTTAACGTAACCCTTTGGATATAATCCCTATAAATCTTCAAGGTATGAATACTTTCAGGCTTAGCTGTGATTGAATGCAACACATTCCTTTCCAACAAATAAATGAAAGAGTGTCCCTGCTTTCAGAACAGAATACAATGACTAAAATGCATGAGCTGCACAATGTCAACGAAATCCTTTCACAGTCTGTAGACATAATGGCCCTGCCTGTCATACTGTTCGTGTACAAAAAACATCTGATCTGCTGACCTGATTTCTTAATTAAAATCCTTTCACTTCACACATGCAGATGCAGATCAGATGGAGTTAAGCCACTCTGTTACTCTCACGGTTCCGCCTCCACATATAAAACACTGTACGAATAACTTTTGGGATATTTCTTCAACTGGAATTTAAACTACCCAATTATAGGTATTTTCAACCTAAAGTAAAACAAAACTGAGATTTTCAGATCTAAATGTCAAAAAAATCATTTTCATCCTTAAAAAGATTTCATTTATAGATATCACAATGTTATTAAAAAGCTTGAACCTGCCCAGTTTTTTATTCAGATGAGGAGACACTCTGTATTTATGAGCTAACTTGTCATTTATGGTTAAGATTTGCTTTCAGTTTCTTAGTCCTTAGCCAATACTAAAGAAATAGAAAAGAAACCTACTTATGGAATTTATAAACTCTTTATCAAATCTTACTGAATGACATCAGTATGTTAAATTGCTAACATGCATTATAACAGCAACAAAAACACAAAATGTGGCTTTAGATTTCAGGATCAATATGTGACAGACTACTTCTAGCATAATGTCCAGAAAAGTTGTTCCAATAATGTCACACCCTGACTTACCTTTTCTAATTAGCTTGAAGCAAAGGAAGCGCAGCACTGCCAACATCCCCTAGAGCTTTATCTGAAAACACTTTGTATCTCAGATTAACAGTGTTTTACAACCTTCGAAAAATATCTACCAGTGCTTTTCTCTTTGTTGCAGGCTTCTCCTGCAGCCTTGGCGAAGTGTGTTCTTGCAGAAGTACCTGGTCAAGTAGTTGAGTATTTCAGCCATAAGGCCATTTCGCCTATGAGCCCGATGAGGGAATTGCTGACCCCCATCCTAAGCCCAGTGGCCACAACCCCTACGGAATAAATGGCAGCTTCGTACCTGCAGCCCGCCTTGGAGCACATCAGCAGTCTGGAATACCAGGGGGTACAGCAGATGCATGTCTCTACATGAGAACTGAAGAGAAAATTCTTCTAAATGTGTTGTAATTTATTTCAAGCAAAATGTTTACACCAAGACTGAAACACAATAGAATGTGGATTATATTTCTGTGCTCTGTGTGGGTTGAGCACTTCCTCCTGGTTATGGGAACTGACCATCCAGCTTTTTCAGCAACAGAACCCCTGAGGTGTTATGTTTTCTCCTCATTATGTTTATGCATGCAGGCCAGGACCTTAATGATGATTTAGTGATCAGACAGAGGCTTGTTTTTTTTTTTCTGCTATCAACATCAGTTCAAGATTTCCCTTCCTTTCGCACAAATAAATATAAATTAATTAGATTCAGAATTAGATGAATAAAATGTAAGAAATGCTACAGTTTACTGTTGATCTTATAATTTATCCGTAGGCTTAAGAATGTGTCTGGTAGTAGAATTGGCCTTATTTTTGAAATTACATTTGTAAGTACACATTGACCATAATTTCAAATTTCCCCAACAGGGAACTGACATCGGTATGCACTGTAAATGCCTCATTTTTCTATTTAAGTGTACTGCTTGATGTGATATACTGATAAAAAGTTTGTCTGAATGTGCTTCAGCCACTGACAACAAAACAAAACCTTCTTTAAAATACAAGTCAATGATAGAAATGTAAACATGGAAGTGCTGATGAGTACAGTGTAGTCTATTTATAATTCACCAAATCCCTTTAGCGGTCATCTATGAACGCTAGACTGAAGAGCAAACGAGATAAATTCATGATTAGTTGTATAGGATACTGTAACTTTTTGATGCAGACTAAAGGTAAATATCAACATGTTATCTACCTTTTTTATGTTTGCAGGTTTTAACTGCCACCTTGTGAAACTGCAAGTGATAAAGCTCCAGTAATCTGCTGTTTACAATTTAGCTTTGGCTCTGTATATGCTTTTTTTCCCTTCAAGACTGAACTGAAAGCCTACATAAAAATATATATGACCAAGATATATGTAATTTTTCTGCAAGAGTAAACCAGCTTGATTTGTTGTCAAGTGGCTAAAATAAGCAGTAAAAATCCTGCGTCATGACAGGTTATGTTTGAACTCTTGTATTGTTGTCATCCCTTAGTAAGCCATCAGCCACCTAGTAACCTTTCATGTAACTGCTGTTAGTTTTGTTTTGCAAAATTTCCTTTTTTTCCCTGCTTTTATATGCAATGTAATTCTATCAGTTGTTATATAAAACATTCAAGTTGTAACAAGTTTAAATCACATCAAAGCACAAAATACATTAATGTTGTAACACATGTTAATATTGATTTCATTTACACCAGAATAATAAATTCTTGGAGATTAATGTTACTTTTGTGGCTTCTTGACATAAAATGAGTGTATCCCAAGAGCTAACTCCTAATCGATAATTTCAATTTCCACTCAATTCTCACTCAGATGGTGAAACAGACAAGCTTGACTACATCCTTTTTATGAGCTCATCTTTTGAAATAAGCCTAATCACTTTAAAACTAGGGAATCAATCTGCACGTATCCAGTGTGGACTGAGTCACATAATATAATGTTCAGGGTCTAGCAATGAAAAAGAGAAATTGTGTTTATCAAAAATATTTTACAGCTACTGTATAGTTCAATGGGTTTCAATGCTGGTCTGCAAGTTCCACTTCTCTATATGTTTTCGATGTCTCTTTCTTGCAGAACACCTGCTTCAAAAGATTGCATGAGCTCCTCACACTGATCTCTATTTATTCACTGGATTGCTGATAGGCTGAAAAGAAAATGAAGTCACCTGCTGCAATCTTGGTACTCCCCATTCTCAAGGATTCATGCCATAAAAAGGCCTGTAATGTAATGTTATTACCATAACAATGTAATCAATACATGTACATCCTTAATTTAGCACCTTGGGCACATCATCAAATGGTGTGTGTATGAGGGTGTGTAATATTCTCAGTATCTGACAACCTTATCATTGTGCTCCATTAACACACTAATTTTGTTGTGATGGATTTGTATAATATGTCATATTAAATGATTTATAGACTTCATGGACTGTGATGAGCCTATTTTTTTTTACCATCAATTACAGTAATCTACTGATGCTGTGAAACAGCAAGAGTGTATCAAAGTGATGAATATTCCTTTATTTTAAAACCTCGAAAATGAGAAACTCATAATTGTTCGATGCTGTAGCGCATGTATTATTTACATTCTGAGTAGTTTAACTAGTGAGTACTAATTTGCCGGTTGACCTTACTCCACCCTGCACTACCAATGAGCTGTCAGCAATCCAGTTAATAAATAGAGATCAGTGGCTCCTCTGCAGCTATGAAATGCTGCAGGACCTTTTAATCCAACATTCATAGAAATCAGGTGTGATTTACCAAGGAGACACCTATTACTCTGGGGACAGAGGTAGTTGAGGACCAGATCTAAGAATCACTGGTACAGTTCATTAGCAATTAAAAATAACATTTTTAACAGTGCATAAACAACTTGCAGTACATCCTATGCATTTGCATAACCATTACCAGTTTCTTCCACTCAGGCTACCTAATAATATTTTAAATCATTAAACATTTGATAATGGCATCCAGCATTAATTTCAATGCATAAAAAAAAATAACATTAATGTTTTGGACTAGGCTGGTCAAAGTCCAGCTGAATCTGAGTTACCTAAGCATTACTTTCAAATGGTAATTCAAATTCTAATATATGTGCTGAAGTGGCTGAATAATAAAAACTCAAATTCTGCACGGAGAGGGGCAAAATTCCTCATCACTGATATAAAAGACTTGTTGCCAGTTTCTACATAGAGCTCAAAGCAGTCATTGGTGGTAAAACGAGTCCAACCAGTTCTAGGTGTTGCGTTTGTTTAAATATATATATTTTCCTATTCATAAATTCAATCATGATTTCAAAATTTATTTATTTATTCCTAATATGTAACTGATTTAAAAAAATGTGTGATCATCTAAAAATAACTATAATGGCATAGTTTTGAAGATTATGTTTAAATAAAGGTGTTTATTTCTTCAGGTTGTTTCTAGAAGTGAATGAAAATCTTTCAACTTTAGCAGTGCTACCAATAACAGTGTTGAAAACGGTCAATAACCTTTCCAGACTTCCTTTACTTCAAATATCCCAAGATCCAAACATTTATCTCGCTTTGATATGTCCTCTAAGGCCACACCAGCATTTCCCAGACACACATGTTATTGACTCTTTCTGACAGCACTGAAACACAGCTGCCTCTGCTGTCTGCACTTCTTTTAAAGATCAAATAATGAGTATTTCTCTGTCACTGTGGAGCACAGCGGGAGGTCTATTGATTCAGCAGACCAAGTGTTGGAGCCAACTTCCATGTGATAATCCCTGGGGGGAAGTTAGTCTTACAACTGAAGCTGAGCCCCATGTGGTTAGCTTAATGCAGTTCAGGAATGATGCCAAAATTAGATAATACTCTACTAGAACAGGCAGAAAACTTGTTTTTTTTTTCTTCTTTTTTTAAAGCAGCATGATATAGTATTAATCTATCATGTAGAATAATTTAATATTATAAACCCCTTAATCACACTATCTATCATTGATTGATCTTAATTAACCAAATAAATGCGTTTTTTTGCACCATGTTTTTTTTCTCTCCCAAATATTTACATTTAATCACTGAGAGCTGTATAAAGCGAAATTTGTTTTGTATACAAAATGACAATAAGTGTTGTCAAAGTCTAAGTCTAAATCACAAGAAGAAGAGAGACTTCTGGATATTTTTTTGGATTCAGATTGTTTTAGTATCAGCACTGAATGGACACTTTACTTACTACAGGAGAGAAAGGTAAAAAAAAGGATCCTGGGTTTTGGTTTGAGTGGCTTATTTTGATTGGAATGTAAATTTTGTTCTCAAGTGAGGGGGAAGGGGACGTCTCTTGAATTTTGATTTGAAACTCTTGATTTTTAATGCAAGGTCTATGTTTCTACCCTCACCTATGGCATGAAATTAGTGTCATCATGACTGATAAAATGAGAGCAAATATACAAGCAGCTGAGATTAGCTTTCTTAACAGGTTGGCCAGGCTCTCCCTTGAAAACAGGTTGAGGTTGGCCATCAGGGGGGGGACTTGGTGTAGAGCTGTTGCTCTTCTTTGACGAGAGAAGTGAGCTGTGGTGGTTCCAGCATATATTCCAGATGTCTTGATGCCGTCCATAGGAGATGTCGACCCTAGGGGTCAGTGTGGGGACCTATACCGTTTATTCTCTACATAAGTGACGTTTGTAACTTTAAAATATTTTCCATTTTTTTTTGTTTTTTGTAGATGATATCACATTTAAAAAAGGATGAATATGTTAAAAAGTTGTTTGTTAAATTTGTTGTAAAAACAAATTGTCCATGAATTTGGAGAAAGTTAAGTTAATGTTATTTGGAATTTGAAAAGGAAATATAGATTGAAAGTCAAAATAGACATGATGCCAAGATCTGCTGGAAGCCTCAGGTCAAACATGCACAGACTAACCTTTCTAAAAGCAAAACATTTTCTGAATTATAAAGCATTATAAATTCTCTAATGTTCACTGATTTTACAATACCTGAGCGACTGATTCTGGGGTGACACCAAATGGACATCACTCAAACCCTAGTTCAAGCAGCAGAAAAGAATCATAGGGATAATTCACATGACTAGGTATCATCACCATGCCTGTCATGGTTTTGGTTCTGTTTAAGTTTTCTCTTTGAGTGTTCATCGGTTTTACTTCCTTTTTGTGTTATTCTGGTTATTTTTTATTTGTATTTGAGTGCTTATGTATTTATTGTTTGCCCTCTGTAGCCCTCTTTTGTCAGCCTCCTTTTCATCTAGCTCCCTTCTAGTTTCCTCTGTCCACACCTGCTCCCAGTCTGCTGATAAGCCTGGTCTTTGTTCCTGTCTCTCATGTATACACCTCTTGTTCAGCCACTTTTTGCTGGTTCCTCATCATCATTTCTTTGTCCTTCATGTCTGTTTTCCTGGATTTAACTATTTTTATTTTAGACTTTTGCTTCTGTTGCCCATTTGGACATTAAATTTGCAGGAAACCATCTTCAGCTTTAGTCTGATCCTCTTAAAACCGCCACATAACCTGACAACACTATTCATTCCTGCTTGCTTAAGTTCTGTGATCTGATATAATTTAAAACTTCACAGTTAAGGTATAAAGATAGAAATGAACAGGCTATAATTACAGGGAAAATGTTTAAAAGCTTACATGCTCAAACAAACTTGAAATTGAAATGTGCATTTCAATAAATAGTGTTAAAGTATGGGACAAACTCATTGTTTAATTAAATAAATGTTGTTTAATCCATTTCAGCTCTCAACACTTTGTTGTTACTGAAAACTTTTCAGGAATAGAAAAGAAATCCACCTTAAAATGGAGGATACCCTATCATGTACGCATTTGCATTGTACAGTTTGCTGACGCTGTGATTACTTTACATGAAAAAGAGAGATGAAACACGCTCTAATTCCATCAGACAATTCCTTTCATTCTAATGGCTATTGTTGAGAGCACAGAAAAAAATTGTTGTTTCCATGGCGACACCTAATCGCAGGAAGAACCAGACCTTCCTTTTTTTGTTTGATTCAGGGACGAATCTGCTGTGCTGAGAAATCAGAGGTCACCCACTCATGACTGTGAAGAGAGGTTTTGATTGTGTTGACTCCTGCCTTTAGTGATGCCGCTGAATGTCCAGCGGAACTAAGAGACGGAGGAGCTCTTCATCAATACACACAATTTAGCTCTAACCTCTATGAAAACAAAATCATGTCTGATGTTCTGATTTTGAGAACATTCTCACTGTCTTAAAATTCACTGGCAGTAATATCTACAGCAGGCTTTCTCTCTTGGACAAGGTGCTTTGCTCAATCAAATGAAAGCCTTTAAATCTAGCTTGGCTTTTTTCTGGCACCGATCCTGTAAAACCTAAAGAAAGACTTGTTGAATATATTCCCAGTGACTGACCGTGATAAGTAAATGCATTTAAAGACATGAAGAACTGCATATTGCCATCTCTGCCCAGTATCCTAGCTGGATGAGCACACACCTTTTATTGCTTCTAGCTATCTATTCTGTTAAAAAAAAAAAAAAAAAAAAAAATTATATAGATTAAAGACACTTTGAGTTATATAGTTTAATCTCATAAAAAAGACATATTACACAGAACCAAACAAACAAGGATTTTCTGATTGAAAAATGTCAGCCTAAACTTAAGGTATGTCCATCTTTATATCATTAATACTTAAACTTCGATGTTAAAGGAATGTTCTTGACTCTGTCTCTGACCATTTCTCTCAGACTAGTGAAGTTTACAACACATTCTTGTTTATCCACAACATAGTGTGACACTTCTAGCTGAATTTAGAAGTAATCAATAGTATCGTTTACTTGGAAATTTTCCACACTTCCACTGGTGCTCCTACGAGGAGAATGAGAAGACAGGAGTGATGACAAAACAAGAGTGAAAAATATTTCCCAGATCAAATACCTTACGCTGTTGTTGTTTCCCCTTTTTGCGACACATAAAAAAATTTTAGTTAGTTCCTTCACTGTCACCTCCACTTTTTAGCTAATGCTAAGATATTGTTTAGCTACATCTGTGTACACTTGAGAGATTTTAGTTTGTCTATTTAACTTATAATAATCAGATTTATTTAAGAAATGGACTGTAATTGAGGACATGCATAAAGTTGAACAAGTTTGATGAACCACTGTCATCAGTTAGTCTGGAGAGATCTTATCCATGTGTATTACTGAGCACAAACAAGCAGATTCTCTAACATTTTGTGTTATATTAATATACTTACAGCAATATTCTTTAAAAAGATTTCTTATTAACTTGATCTTAAGCTATTGAAACTAATTTAAATTTTTGTTAACAATGTGCCTAAACTTAATCTGTTAAGTTGTACCTGTATTTGCAATAATTCACATTAGCACACTGAAACTGCTGCCAAAAAAAAGATCAGCAGT